TTTGCTCAACCATGTTTATAGCAGCATTATTTGTAATAGCCAGAACCTGGAAACAACCCAGATGTCCATCAACGGAGGAATGGGTACAGAAATTGTGGTATTTTTACACAATGGAATACTACTCAGCAATCAAAAAGGAGGAAATCATGAAATTTGCAGGCAAATGGTGGGATCTAGAAAAGATCATCCTGAGTGAAATATCCCAGAAGGAGAAAGACAAACACGGTATATACTCACTTATATAGACCTATAAGATATGATAAACATAATGAAATCTATACACCTAAAAAAGACTATCAAGAGAGCGGACATGGGTTAAGATTATCAATCCTCGTTTAGAAAGACAGGTGGGATGCGCATTGAACATAGGACAGGAGTCTACTGAGTGCATTTGAAAGATTCTAACTAGCAGTGTTTTCAAAGCAAAGACGCATGACCAAACCTTTGGCAGAGTACAGGGAATCATAAGAAAGAAGGGGAGTTAGTCTGATGAGGAAAGAATAGGAGCTCCACAAGGACCAAATATATCTGGGCACAGGGTCTTTTCTGAGACTGACATGCAACCAAGGACCATGTACGAATGTAACCTAGAACCTCTGCTCAGATGTAGCCTGTGGTAGCTCAGTAACTTAGAACCTCTGCTCAGATGTAGCCTGTGGTAGCTCAGTAACCAATTGGTTTCCCATAGTGAGAGGAACAAGGATTATTTCTAACAGGAACTCAATGACTGGCTCTTTGGCCTCCCCACCTCCCCAAGGGAGGAGCAGTCCTGTTAGGCCACAGAGGAGAGCTTTTCAGCCAGTCCTGAAGATACCTGATAAAACAGGATTGGATGAATGGGGAGGAGGTCTCCCCTATTAGTGGACTTGGCAAGGGGCACGGTGGAGATGAGGGAGGGAGGGAGGGACTGGGAGGGAATGAGGGATCGGGACACAGCTGGGATACAGAGTTAATAAAATGTAACTGATAAGAAAAAAATAAAATTCAAAAAAAAAAAAAGAAATTAGACAGCAACAAACCAAACAACCCAATTAAAAATAGAGTGCAGAGCTAAACAAAAAATTCTCGACAGAGGAATCTTTAGTGGCCAAGAAGCACTTAAAGAAATGTTCAAGATGCTTAGTCATCAGGGGAATGCAAAGTAAAACAACTCTGAGATTCCATCTAACACTCATCAGAATGGCTAAGATCAAAAACTCAAGCCCACAGTTCATTCTAGAGAGGTTTTGAAACAAGGGGAACCCTCCCCTCCATTGCTGGTGGAAGTGTAAACTTATAGAAACATTTTGGAAATCAATCTGGCAGTTTCTCAGAAAATTGGGAATTTCCTGAGAAAAATTTTTTCAACACCCAGCTATACCATTCCTGGGTATATACCCAAAAGATGTTCCATATCAAAAGGACACATGCTCAACTATGTTTATAGCAGTTTTATTTGTAATAGCCAGAAACTGGAAACAATCTAGATGTCCCTCAGCTAAAGAATAGATAGAGAAAATGTTGTATATTTACACAATGGAATCTCACTTGAACAGTGACATCATGAATTTTGCAGGCAAGTAGATGGAACTAGAAAAGATCATGTTGAGTTAGGTAACCTAGACCCAGAAAGACAAACATGCTATGTACTCACCTATAAGTTGATTTTAGCCATGAAGTCCAATAACTACAATCCACATACCCAAAGAAGCCAAGGAACAAGTAGGGTCCGAGGGAGGATGCTTCATTCTCACTGAGAAGGGGAATGTGGTAGATGGAGGGCGAGAACTGCATGGGGAGGGGAGGGGAGGGAAAGAGTAGGAGTGATCAAGTGTGGGAAGGATGGTGGGGGAGAGAACTGGAATCAGTTGGGGGATATCTCTGAAGCAAGCTAGAAGTCTAAGACAGTGGAAAATCCCAGGAATCTATGAGGATGATCCTCGCTAAGACTCTTAGGACCAGGGTTTATAGAACATGAAAAGTGCCTCCTATAACCAGGCAAGACTTTCAATGGAGGGATGAGTATACCATCATAAACACAAAACCTTCCATCCACAATTTTCTCTGACTTGTAAAGGTACAGTGATAAAGAGACAGCAGAAAGTGAGGGAATAGCCAATGAATGACTGGCCCAAATTGAGTTTCATGCCATGAAAGAGAGCCCACCATGACAATAATAATATCCACTCTACTTGCAGACAGGAGGCTATCATAAATGTCATCTTAGAGGCTTCATCAAACAGTTGATGAAAACTGATGCAAGACCTAAACATTAGGTGGAGCTTGGAGAATCTTATGAAAGAGTGAGAGGAGGGATTGAAAGAACCAGAGAGGTCATGGACACCACACAAAAACTACAGAATCAACTAACCTGGGCCCATAGGAACTCACAGAAACTGAACTACCAACCAGAAAACACGGATGGGACAGACCTAGGCCCCTTACACTTAAGTAACAGATGTACAGCTTTGTCCTCATGTGGGACCTCTAACAGCAGGAGCAGGGGCTGTCTCTGACTCTGTTGCCTGCCTTTGGAACCCTTGCCCCTAACTGTACAGGCTTGATTAGCCTCAACAGAAAATGCACCCAGTCCTACTACAACTTGATATGCCAAGGCAGGTAGATATCCGTGGGAGGTCTCCCTTCTCTGAGAAGAAAGGGGGGGAGAGTAGAGGTAGGGTCTGGGAGGAGAGGAGAGAGGGGAAGTTCCAATTAGGATGTAAAGTAAATAAATAAATTACTTAATGAAAAAACAAACACGAAGAGCATACCACCTGGAGACTCCTGAGAAACAGAAACCCTGCTGGTATTTTACATCATAGAAAAAAAAAAGATTTCTGATACAAAATAATGTACATTTTCCTCATTTTATAAATGATAGAATCAAGGACCAAGAAATTGAAGTTACCTAATCATAAAGCAGCTACTGTGAGGAAGACGTGGAGCCAGTGTTCCATCCTTTACACTGAAAACCATCAACTGAGTGCCACTTGTGTGCATTCCCATGTGTTAAAACAAGATTTTGTAACATTAGTATTAGTTCTGGTGCTGGGGAGCAGGCCCAGGCTCTTTTACATTCTTATATTTATGGTTGTGAGGCTAACCTTTAACGGCTGAGCCATCTCTGCAGCCCTGGTCTTTTACATTCTAAGCAAACACTTTTCCCTCTGACTGTGGCCCAGACCTCATCCAACATTTCCTTAGTGAAGTATGGACATCAAAGGAAAACTTAGTCTTATAGTCTAGTTAACATCAATAATGAGTGCCCATATGTTATAGCAGCATCCCCAACTAGGTGACTCTGGCATTTTAAGTAAAGCTTACCAAGCCTTTCCTATGTACCTCAAAGACTGCCTCTTTGATATACACACTCTTTCTAACCCTGGCCATAAGGTAGCAAGACTTGGCCTGGTGTACTGAGAAAGGGCTGGCTTCGAAATTGGGTAAGAGCTCAAATGTCAGCTCTACCACTAAATAACTTTGCAATCATAAGCATCTCATCTGACCTCCAAGTTTCAGTTTCCTTACCAGCAAGACATCAGTCTCTCTCACAGAAAAGTGGGAAAGCTAAATGCACTACCATTTTGTGAAGTCTTTTGAAAAACCATACCATTTTACAAATACATAGACCGGTTTATTGTCCTTGAAGAGCATCAGACAGAATTAGGGGCATCGGATGGTTGGCCTAAGTACATATGGCATAACTTCTGGTTCCCTAAGATTCAGTGCAACATAATTCCACAGTGTTAGATTGCTTCCAGATGGCTATTTGCATCCTAATACAGTACATGTACTTGCTAGGTACTTACACTTAAGAGTCTGCCATTTGAACACCAGATTCATGAATTCATCTCCATATCTTAGCAACAGACACACCAACTACGAATACAATGACTTGAATTAGCCAAGTTGTGTGTGTGGTGGGGTCTTGCTCGGTATACCTGGTTGGTGGCCTAGAGCTATACAGATCAGGCAGAAGTTTGCCTACTTCTGCTACCCAAGTGCCTGGATTAAAGGCAAGTGCCACCATACCCAGACTTTTTAAAATGCTGCTGGAAATTTGGTTAAACATGTTCAGATAAACTGTTTGGAAGGAAAGTTTGATGCAGGAGAATATATAGTAGAGGCCTTTAAAATACCTTGATAATTTATGCTAAGAACTTTGAAAACAGTAATATGCTTAAACCAAAGTTTGACTTCTAAGCACTTACACTAATAATTCTCAAACAAAGTAGTCAAATGCTTGTTCAATTTATAAGTAACAAGCACAAAGGAAAACAGAAGTGTCTGCAATGGGAAGCCGTGTTTTATACAGTAGCCTGATAGAGTAGAAGTCAGGAAGTGTAGGGCAGCTCCAAAAGCCAGTGTACTGACTATATTTGTCAGCTTGTGACCCAAGAACGACCTGTACATTAAGTGATTTGAGAGGAAATAAAAGAGTACTTTTATGTGACATTTTTAATCATAGGCAAATAATTCCCAAGCCAAACCCTCTATATGATGCTAGTTCCAGCAGGGAATATTGGGGCCATAAAGTTTAAATATTTAGCGTTTGGTCCTTTACAGAGAATATGCCAATGCCTGCATTAGAACATTGTGCAGCTTTATTAAAAGCCTTCTTGAAGAGATTGAAGTAGCAAGTTAGGTTGCGTGTGTGATAATGGCTAATATAAAGCAGGATGGCAAGTTAAAAATACACATCAAGCAATAGGAATTTTAAGAATTGAGATCTGAAGGTAATGTCATTTTTCCTTTATTTTTCTTTTCCCCAGGATAGCAAAACCTCATTGTTATGGAGGAAACGCCTTCCTACATGTACACCTGAACGCCAGAAGAGGGCACCAGCTTTCACTACAGATGGTTGTGAGCCACCAGAACTCAGGACCTCTGGAAGAGCAAACAGCACTCTTAATGTCTGAGCCATCTCTCCAGCCCAGAAAACACCTTCATACATGTAGCACATACGTAGCATACATGTAGCTTTCCATGTTATGGAGTGAGATAGTAACTTTATAACTTACCTGTCAACACAACTTTTCCAGATGTAAAAATGAGCAACACAACCTGTGGTTTTACCATCTTATAAATAAGGCCAGGGAACAGCTCAGGTTCATAGCTGTTGACACAAAAAGTGATAAATAGCACTACTATTCACTACTATTCCAGAACATTCAAGTTCCCACATATCAAACTTCATCGCACAGCTGTAAACAAGTGCCATTTTACTAAAAACTTTTGAGCTATCTCAGTAAGAGTGGTGTCTTGAGTGCAGACTTTTCTTCATGCTAGGATTAAATCTAAAACCTCACACATTTAGGCAAGTGCTGTGACACTGGGATACAATCCTAGCCCTGAGTGTAAACACTTAAAACATTCAAAACTGAGTTTTTGGTTGATCCAAATCTGGTGGTTCATACCTGTAATCCCAGCACAATGGAGGCCAAGGGAGGATTGAAAATTTAGAATAAGTCTGGGCTACATAGTGAAACAGGCTTAAAAATGATTAAATTTTATCTGTTTCTTTCTTTCCTTCCTTTTTCTTATTTTTCAGTTTTTGGAGATAGGTTTCTCTGTATAGCCTTGGCTGTCTTATGTTCACATTGTAGACCAGGCTGTCCTTGAACTCACAGAGATTCTTCTGCCTCTGCCTCTGCCTCTGCCTCTGCCTCTGCCTCCCTGAGTGCTGGGGTTACCAGTGTCTTCCGGTATGTTTCCAAGACTGGTCTAGCACTCGCTATGCATAGCCCAGGCTGCCCTTGCACTTGTAGCCTTCCTGCCTCAGCTTCCTGAGTACTAGGACCAGCTTAAGAGATAACTTCTGATTATTGTTTCTCCCATTTATAAGCCATCCTAGATGAAGAGGAACTGAGATTAACATTCAGCATCAGATTTGATACTTGAAGATCTTGTTAAACATTCTTCACCTTTTACCACTGAACTAAAGCTTGCCAGTAATAGTATATAAGCATTTTTAAAAGAATTTTCCAAGTTCCCAATAATAAGCACATTTTGTGTATATTAATAAATTGTAAAAAAATTAGCAAATAAAAATAAAAGTAGTTTAAGGCCACAGCTACTTGTAAACATGTGATTCACAGTGTGATTCTATAAGTAGGAAATCACTAAGATTTATTTGAAACATATGCTGGATCTCCATGGAGCAAAGGAAGGGCACAAAGCCACAGAAATGGTTGAGCTGTCCACCCCAGAGAAGTTGGTAGAGCAAGAGGAGGGTACAAAAATACAACTGTTCTCAAAGTAACAGCTCAAGGAGAATAGGTGTAAGAAAAACAAGGCGTGAAAACCGGTACATCAGGAATAACCTTAACCTTTGTACAAAGAGAATGAACACACTGACAAGTGCCTGCGGTTCTTCAACCAATAAAACTGTAGAAGCCATTGCTGGAAACAGAAAAGTGACCACAGCAAGATTATCGTCATAAAGCATATGAAGGTCAGTTCCAAAACCATGTTTCTAAAGTAACAAGCACAATGAATTCCTGATCAAAGATGTATTATTTATTTTGTGTATCACTGTAAATAAAAGAGAGCAGAGACCATCCAATAGAGAATGAATTTCAAACACCTGATGATTTTTTGTCCAGTTCAACCTTGAAGTGTCTTACAGTATCACTTCTCAGAAGTGCTTTCCTGACTCTTCATATCCACAGTAACACAAAGAGTCCCATAGCACACAGAACAGTCTTAGCTCCAAAGCGACTACCACAGTTGAAGACTAACATTGACAGTGTGTGTCTTTATTTTAGTCAGCATATTCCATGTGGACAAGGGACTAAGGCCACATAGGTGGCCAGGTGCACATCATCATCTACTACATAATACTCACCTGGATTTTAGACCCTTAGCAAGTATCTTATTAGCACATCTTTTTAGGTTAAAACTGAAGTGGTAATTCTCATAGAAAGCTATAAAGATCATTGTGACATAGATTGATAGAGAAGGTAGTGAGAGAGAGAGAGACTATGGTGGTGTAGCTCAGTGGTACAATACTTCCCAAAGACACATGAGGACATACTGGTGCATGCTTATTATAATCCTAGCAACTCAGGAGTGACACAGAAGAATTGCTATAGGGTGAGACCAGGCTGGATGACATAACCAGACCCGATTTCAAAACTTGATACAAAACTGGGACACACCTGTATTAGATGTTGAAATGCAAATTTTCAGACCCTAAACTACACTTGACCTGATGATCATGACTGGTAGGTGTCGTTTCACACAAGCTATGGATATGGAACAAAAGCTAAAAAGAACTCTCTCTGCTTAGAAAAGTCCCTAAGGCTCCCAAAGTGAACAATAATGCTGGCCTGATGGGGCAGTTCTGAGGGAGGCCAAAATGAGACTAGAAACAGATAGTCTCTGGAATGCAAAGTATACTTTCCAGCCAGACACAACAAAAGTAACTGTTTTGTGATAGTTCATAAACCCGGCTGGCTAGGAACACGAGCCTGGTGTAGGCCACTTCGAGAAGATAACAGCCAGGTTGCTGACTCTGATCTTGCCCTTTTGGCATTTTCATTTTTCAGAAAGTGAAAATGTTAACAAGTGACTTTTGCTGTCAACAGCACTCTCTCTGTATGTTGTTGAGAAAGGAAGTGAAAGAAGCCTGCACGGCCTGAAAGGAGGACCAGGAGTCTACCTCAGCCATGCTTTGAGTTGAGGTGGAGATCATTCCTGTGGTCTAAGAAGGGAGGCTGGAGACCCGTGGCTCGAGAATATGAATAAAACATCTATGTTCACATATTTAAAAATAGAGTATTACTAAGTCTATAAATGACCATAGCATGGAAAAGAAAACTCACCCAGAGGTAATATATATTGCATGAAGAAGTGAGGGAGCTATCTACAAAACTCAGACTTTTGAAAAATAAAAAAGCATAACAGATGTCATAACCACTCAATAAGCAAATTGTGTGTAAGAGGAAATAACACAATTAGGAGGAGGAAGAAAGTATTTTCCAAGCTAGATCTAGAAACGAACTATAGTTTGACAGTTAAGAAAAGTCCAGACTAACAGGAACCTAACACAGATGGCCTGAAAGACTCTACTGATTGAGGTATTACATCAGAGGATGAGATTCATAGTGCAGGGAATCATATGAAAGAAGGGGAAGACAGAGAGACCTGGAGGGGACAGGAGCTCCTAAAGGAGACCAACAGAGCCAAAGAACTGATCCTTGGGGGCCCTGAAGAGAATAATACCCCAACCCAGGACAATGCATGGAGAGGACCTAAAACCCCAGCTCATATGTAGCACATAGACTCAGTCTCCAAGTGGGGTTCCTAGTAAGGGGAGCAGGGCTGTCTTTGACATGAACTCAGTGGCAGGCTCTCTGATCACCACCCCCTGGGGGATGCAGCCTTGCTAGGCCACAGAGGAAGACAATGCAACCAGTCCTGATGAGACCTGATAGGCTAGGGCCAAATAGAAGGGAAGAAGGACCTTCCCTATCAGTGGACTAGGGGAGGGGCACGGGGGAAGAAGAAGAAGGGAGGGTAGGATTGGGAGGAGATGAGATAGGGGGCCATAGAAGAAATACAAATTGAATAAATTGTGATTAATAATAATAATAATAATAATAATAAGTCCAGACTAGTAGCTGGGCATGGTGGCACATCCTTTAATCTCAGCACTTGGGGAGGGAGAGGCAGGTGGCCAACCTGGTCTACAAAGTAAGATTCAGCATAGCCATGGCAGTTATAGAGAGAAACCCTATCTCAAAAAAAAAACAAAAAACAAAAAGAAGAAAAAAGGAAGAAAGGAAGGGAGGGAGGGAGGGAGGGAGGGAGGGAGGAAAGAAGGAAGGAAGGAAGGAAGGAAGGAAGGAAGGAAGGAAGGAAGGAAGGAAGGGTCCAGACATTTTGAATTTCTGTTGGGGTTAGGTCTGAAAAGAAAGCTAACAAAGCTCCTTTCCACTGTACCTTACCTACTTGAGTGAGCAGATTCAGCTCTTCCAAAGGTTGGGACAAGACTGAACTGATCAAGAGAAAGTAAAAGCACCTGTCATTCTATAGTAGGGCAGGCACTTTGGCCCATATGTATATTCAGGGATGGAGGGTGTGATCTCTGAAGCCTGAACTATCCTCTCTGAGGGCTGAGCTGAGGACAGGGAGTCACCCTGGCTGTGGAGATTAGGCTTAAAGAAGCAAAGAAGGCTAGAATGCTCCCTTAGGATAGCAATACTATAAATACTGCATTGTTGTGACAGTTACAACTACACAAAGATGCCCCCTCCCAAATAAACACATCAGGATAGGATCATACTCACAGGATATGCCCCAGCCATCTTTCCCCCATCCAATATTTCCCCCTCCAGCTATCATTCCCACCCCTTCACTTCTCCCACTGCCATTTCCAAAGCTACTTAGGCCTATTTTAAAAATCTAACCAGTTAGTGGATCTGGACATAGAGAGCTTCAGGCCAGCAGTACCAATGTTGGGTATGAACTTTGTAGGACTGAGTATCTCCTGATGGAGCCGCCCAATCAGAGATGTGGGCTAAAATGGCCCAAGTGATCACCATGCAAGTTTGCTGTGAGAACCACGCTTTCAAAGCACTGACACAGCATCATGATCCAGTCAGCCACCTGCCTCCTCCTATCTATCTATCTATCTATCTATCTATCTATCTATCTATCTATCATCTATCTATTTATTTATTGATTGATTTGGTAAATGGATACTTTCTCTGAACACTATCTTGTATAAGCAGCCTGAATTTTCTAACTTCTTAATAACCACCATACCTACTGAACTGCTGGTGGGTTAGTGCCAAAATCTCCAGCCTGATGGGAAATTTCACATCGCAGCTTCCAACCATGTTCTGAATTTTAAAATTGAGAAATCTGGCAGGGAACCCAAGCTTCTGCACCACACGAGCATACTTTCTTGCTGCTAGTCGAGACTCCTCTTCACTGGGGAGATGAAAATATGATTAAAGGCATTTTTGGTTGTTTTCTGAGATAGCCTGGCTCTTTGGTTCTTTAGGCTGCTGGGTAACTCCTGGCAATCTTCCTGCTTCATTTCCCAAGTGCTAAGATTACAGGGATGCATCACACACCTAGTTGACTAACAACATCTTATTCACTCTGACTCCTTTACTATTTCTATTACATGTGCATACTATGTTCATTTTTCAATGTACCTATGAGTCTGTAGGCTGCTATGTAGCTCAGTGAATTTACTTGCTTAACATGTGCAAGATGTGATCCTCAGAATTATAAAAATAAAAGAAAAATAAGTGAAGTTCCATGGGAAGGACCTTCCTTTCATACCTTTGTCTATAATGTCTTCCCAAGGATCTGATACAATGGACAATTTAGTTGTTGAACTGAACCAAACCTCAAAAACCTTGATTGGTCATCTCTTATCTAGAAAGTACTTTTGTTTTAGTTGTTTTAAATGTTATTTGAAAAACTAACTACTGCACCATTTCTCAAAGTGTGTACTCAGACCTAAAATCTTGTTTGAGGAGCCGTGACCAGGTTTGACGTCTGACACACAAGAGGCTCTTTATCTGGGGTCTAGCAAATTGCTGTCCATAGCCTTCAAAATGCTTTTGGTACTCATTGTAGCCTAAATGACCTGCTCTAAAAGTGTGTAAGCCATTAATATGGAAACAAAAAGAAGTATGAAGACATTAAAAAAATAATCACCAACACAAGGAAGAAAGATATGTGCCAAATGAGTGGCATAGACTTAGGTCTTTTTGAGACAAATTGTCAAAAACAAATTTAAATTTCTTAAAACTTGCCTAAGCATCTCAGCTTTCTCAAACAACTGCTCTGATTCATATTCGACACGAGGGAGAAATGTATCCAAACTTGTAGCTACATTCTTCTAAAGGCCCAGCTCAAATCCATGTCAGAATGTGAAGTCCTAAGAGCTGAGCCTGTAGTTTTCATTTGACATTGTTCCCCTGCCCCAACAACAATGACCAGAAGGGGCTGCTGGACAGCCTCACGCCTGGTGAGTGAATTATGTGAACAAAGTGCTCCTTGTGGTGACCCCATCTTTAAGTTGTAAATCAGCAGTTCCCTAAAGAAAAGCCAGGTTGCCTCGGCTTGCCTGGACAAAGGGAAGTGTTGTATTCTCTTCCCTCAATCCTTCACTGTTCTCTTCTATGAATGGTGTTCATGCACTTTATCCTTCTTGTTTCTCCCAACCCTTTTCTAACTCCTGATATTGCTTAACAAGGCCATGTCACAAGTTAGGAATGGAATAAAGACATTTAAAAAAGGAAGGCTTATTTCATTGTAAATTTCTCATACAGGTTCCTATTTTAACCACAATTCAAAGTGTGTGTGTGTGTGTGTGTGTGTGTGTGTGTGTGTGTGTATACAAACATTAGAAAACAGACTTAGGACCCTAATGTCTTATCATGGATATCTTATACTGAAAAAAAACTTATACCTGTTCAATCCAATTTATTTAAATATATACAGTTTTTAACAGCCACACTGACCAGTAGCTATCCCAATGGGCAGCAGAGGTACAGGGCACTTCCTTCAGATAGAATATGGTCCAGATCAGTAGTTCTCAACCTGTGAGTCATGAACCCTTTTGCAAAATTCTATCTACAAAAATATTTACATTATGATTCATAAAAGTAGCAAAATTAAAGTTCAGAAGTAGCTACAAAAATTGGCACAGCCATATCTAATGGGAACAGCAAAAATCATAAAGCAGCACAGCTGCTTGACAAAGATCCAGCAAAGCTGAGCCGAGTGATGCAATCGCTGTGCTGCAGTCTCCCACTCTTATTGCCTTGATCTCTACATGTCGCATGCGTGGGGGTCTTTTATTATTTGTACAACTTGGGGACATTCCATTGATGGAAATTTTTTAAAAATAATTTTTATTTTTATTTAGTGTGCATCAGTGTGAAGGTGTCAGATCCCTTGGAACTGGAGTTAGAGACAGTTGTGAGCTGCCATGTGGGTGCTAGGAATTGAACCCAGGTCTATTTGCAAGAGCAGACAGTACTCTTAACCACTGAGCCATCTCTCAAGCCCTGGAAATTTTCTTATGAATCATTTATGCATTCTCCCTGGAGTATTGATTGTCCCAAGAAATGTACTACCTCTCCCACTTTTAAGAGGATATCATCATCTGAGCCTACTTGAAGGTCTTTCTTATGCTATGGAGATTGTAATTCAAATAATTCCAGAGACTTCCTTATGAGGCTCTAACTCAAAGAGACTCTTGTAGTCTTCCTCCCCAAGGAGGCCTGTGGGGCACTGGAGCAGCTCTAGGCTCGGGCCTGCTCCCCACCTGCCTGGCCCACCTAGGTCAGAAACAGCAAGCCCACCAGAGACAGTGAACCCAGCAGAGCTGAGCTACACACAGGACCCAAGTCCCATTGTTCATCATCCCAAAGAAGGCTGTGGGGCACTGAAGCAGCTCTAGTCTTGGAGATCTTTCTACCTGTGCCCCAGCTGCCTGGCCTACCTGAGTCACAGACAGTGAGCCAGGAGAGACAGTGAACTCAGCAGAGCGCCCTCCCTTGCTTAGCCACATCTGAATCTCCAACAACCATTCTTAAGCCCCTGGATATATCTCATATTCCTGTAGACTACTCCAGACTCCAGAGACAGGCTCCAGGAACAATCGAGGCTATAGACAACCAGATGGCTTGAGGCTGGCATAAGAATATGATCAATAAAAACCAGGACATCATGACTTTACTAGAATTCCCTTCAAAATTAATGGATATTCTAATGCAGCTAAAACACCAGGAAATTATCTTAAATCTATGATTATGCAGTTATTAGAGGCAAATAAAGAAGAAACAAACAAATAGAGGTCATCATGGACAAACAGGAACCCACAATCAAACAGGTAAAGGAAATGAATAAAGTTGTTCAAGACATGAAATTGGAATTAGAATCAATAACGAAAACACAAACCAAGAAAACCCTGGAGATGGATAACTTAGAGAAGAAATCAGGAACCACAAAGGTAAGCATCACCACAGAAAATGAGAGATGGAATAGAGAATCTCAAGCGCAGAAATTGATACATCTCTCAAAGAAAACATAAAAATGGAAAAGTTCCTGACACAAAACATCAATTAGCACTCTATTAAAAGTTGATAACACACTGCTTGGGACATGACAATCTACCCAGGCTGGCTTGGATGTTTTCTTTGTGTTTAGTCCCTTTGAAACTGCAAGAGCTACTAGTCTAAGAACAGGCTGTTATGCTTTGGCAAAATATGCCCTTAAAATTGCAATATTGTTAAAAGTTGGGTTGTGGGACTGATGAGGGAAAGTGATTCTAAAAGATAACATTGCTCTGTCATGTCATGTCATCAATAATGACTAAACTTATGACCAAGCGAAAGTTAAAACATGTATAGGGACAAACATGGTATGATCTATATTTTGGAACAACATGCATCTATCCCTGCCTACTAAATTCTGTATAAATAAAGAAGTACCTAGACTGCCAGTCAGTCAGGATGTAAAAGTCCTCTTGATCTCTGTGCCTGACTCATTCCTCCCTGCTGCCCTTATATCCACCCTTCTTTAGGCCCTGTTCTCACCCCAGGGCTGGTTCCCAGCAAAAAAATAATTTTATGGTTGGGGGTTAGCACAACATAAGGAATTGTATTAAAGGGTCACAGCATTGGGAAGTATATAATGTTCAACAAAGGGAATGTTTTCCAAACAAGATTCCAAATAATCAAATAAAGGATAAAAATGAACCAACTGACTATGTACCAACAAATTTAAGTTGTATTTTAAAAACCTTCTTTAAAATATGATAAATAGTAATCTGGAAAAATATCTGCAGCATAAAATTGCCAAATATGTAAATTTTATTAACAAAATCTGTTAACAAAAGACAAATATCTCTAGAATACTGAGCAAAAGATATAGTAAGCACTTTACATGCTTCTGAAGAAACGTTAAATCTCACTAATCATGAATATGTAAATTTAAACAATGTAAGCTTTTCAATAAATTTAGCAGATATAATTAAGCATATTGTAGCCCACGTTCGTAGGTAGAAATGAATTATTTGTGCCTCTGTAGCTGAGGATTGGTACTAAAAATCATTGGTCACTAATATCTATCAACATCAATGGACTTAACTCTCCACCAAAAAGACAAAGACTAACAGAATGGTTGCAGAAACAGGAGCTAGCATTCTGCTGTATTCAAGAAACACCTCTGCAACAAAGATGGACACTGCCTCAGAATAAAGGGCTGGAAAAAGGTTTTCCAAGTAAACGGACCCAAGAAGCAAGCTGGAGTAGCTATCTTAATATCTGATAAATAGGCTTTCAACCAAAATTAGTCAAAAGAGATAGGGAAGAAAAATCCACCAGGAGAACATCACAATGCTGAACATCTATGCCCCAAACACGAGGCCTCTCGCATTTGTAAAAGAAATATTATTTAAGCTTAAATCACACATCAATCCCAATACCTTAATAGTGGGAGACTTCAACATCCCACTCTCACCAAGCAACAGAACATTGAGACAGAAGTTAAATAGAGAAATAATGGACCTAATAGACATCTACAGAACTTTTCACCCAAACAGAAAAGAGTATTCCTTCCTCTCAGCACCTTGCGTAACTGTCTCCAAAATTGACCATATAGTCAGGCACAAAGCAAGCCTCAACAGATGCAAGAAGATTAAAATAATCCATTGTATCATATCAGACCACCACATCATATGGTCTAAAACTAGACTTCAACAATAACAGAAATAGCAAAAAGCCTATAAATGCATGAAAACTAAACAACTCTCTACTCAATGACAGCTGGGTCAGGGAAGAAATAAAGAAATTAAAAGACTTCTTAGAATTCAATGAAAATGAACGGACAACTTACCCAAACTTAGGGGACACAATGAAAACAGTGCTATGAGGAAAGTTTATAGCACAAAGTGTCTTCATAAAGAAATTCAAGCTCATACAAGCAACATAACAGCACTCTTGAAAGCACTAGGGGGAAAAAAGCAGCAGCAGCACACCCAAGAGGAGGAGACGGCTGGAAATAATCAAACTCAGAGCTGAAATCAATCAATTAGAAACAAAGAGAACTATTCAAAGAATCAACAAAACCAAGAGCTGGTTCTTTGAGAAAATTTAGATAAACATTTAGCCAAACTAACCGAAAGGCAGAGAGACACTATCCAAATCAACAAAATCAGAAATGAAAAGGGGGATCTAACAGACACTGAGGAAATCCAAAGGATCGTTAGCCCTTAATTCAAAAGCCCATATGCAACAAAATTTGAAAAATGTAAATGAAATGGACATTTTTCTTGATAGATTCCATTTACCAAAGCTGAATCAAGATCAGGTAAATAAATTAAATAGTCCTATATCCCCTAAAGAAATAGAAGTGGTCATCAAAAGTCTTCCATTAAAAAAAAAGACCAGGGCCAGATGGTTTCAGTTCAGAATCCTTTAAGAAGAGCTAACTCCAGTAGTCTTCAAACTATTCCACAAAATAGAAACAGATATATAAAATATAAACATTGGATTATGACAGAAATTAGATAATAGCTGTAGCAACTTTAAAGACTGTCAGAAGGGGAGGTTGCTCTCCATTTGACACAGGGAGGGCACGAGCTCTTCTCCCAGCTTTATAGTGAAAAAGCAAACATCAGATAGGAGAGCCTCTGTAGGAGCTTCATGAAAGATAAATCTTCTCGGAGAGACCCCTGGAGTGAATACTCAAGAACTGTCCCATTTAGAAAGCTCTACCACCTTATCTGTATGAAGAAAATCCACAGTAATGTCCCTAGGTTTATGACATCTTGTCATAACTGCAAATGGGTGCATGTGTGTACTTGTTTTTTAACATAAGTGTTACATATAATATACATAAGTGTTATATATGATCTATACAGATATATATATAATATACAGATTTATATTAGAGATATTAAATATATAACATATGTGTGTGTGTTGAAAACAGGTTTTTATAATCAAGATTGTTGAACTTTAACCAAACACTGGTGACTATCAAGTGTGGAATATAGGTTTGTATTGTATGTAAGACTAAGAACTTTTAATGTCATATTAACTGTTTGGCAATGAAAAATATGTTGCTCCTCCTGTGAGCCTTTACATAAATTCTATACTTCTTTTCTTACACAATGAGTTACCTATAGGAAAGGGGTGGAAACGTCATCCTCATACCTTTTGGCTCCTGTACAGACCAGTTTCCCAGAGCTAAATATGAGGGCTGTTGTCCTTGGCTCTCGGATTCTCATTATGACTGCAGCAAACCTCTGCAAACCAAAGCCAATGGGAGAATTAGTCTTTACTGGGAGTTACCACTAACCTTGTTGGAAAGTTGGGCTATGTACAGAACTCTTGAGGAAACTGGAACTGGATGAGAAAATTAAGCAATATCTGGGTCTGTTCTCACCTCATTAACAAAAATTATAATCATAAAGTATTATTTTATATAAAATATTATATTTTGAAAGTAACAGCTAAAATTAGAGTACCTGTCTTATTTCTTTCAATTATATTCATAACAAGACTAACTTGAGTTCATTGTTGCCCTCAATTAATACACCAAAAAATTAAGTAACCTTCAACATTATCAGAACTTGATAAGGATATGAAATAAAACCACACTTAGCTATATTTATATTGACATACTTCCATTTTCTCTTACAGAACCCTTTTAAGAAGAGAATAAAGTACAGATGAAGAGCTGAGGACATGGCTGCCTCAGCAGGGGGCTTTCCTAGAACACAGGAAGCTCTGAGTTTGATCCCCAGCAGGGAACAAGCCACATTTGGTGCTACACGCCTAGAAGCCCAGCAGTCTGGATGTAGAGACAGGGGAAAAGAAAATTCAAGATCATTCTTAAGCTTCTTAAGTTTGGGGCCAGTTGGGAATTCATGAGATCTTATCTCAAAACTATACTAACTCACATATTGAACTCATATACATATATACATACATATATATATATATATATATATATATATATATATATATACACACATATGTTCAACACGTGGTTACATACCTATAATCCCAGCACTTGGGAGACTGAGGAAGAAGAATTTCAAATTTAAGAAAATTTGAAGTTACATGGCTAAATCCTATTTCAAGACAAAACCAAAACCACCACAGAAAACAAAGCATGTAATCACGTATGTTGTTGTTAAGATTCTAGACTGCACGAAGACAACTAAGATACAGAGCACAATATACATAATGACAGACATGCTCAAAATTAAGAGAAAATCTGTTTCATCAGATTCCAGCCTTCACAATCCTTCTTATTGTGTATCTTTAGGCCTGCTCATTGGTACACCCTTCAAGGACACTAACGCACTTGAGACCAGTCAGCGTATCACAGTGACATGGCACTAAATGACCTCTTACTCCTTCTACACTCTCTTCTCCAACTTTCCTTTACACACTAGGCCAGTAATGATATAGGAGTAGGTCCCACGCAAGATTACCTCTTGTGGGGGCCAGCTACTCCAAAAAATCATAGATCACTTCAAATGACAAGCAGTTGCAATTTAAACTGTAAACACTAAAAAAAAACCTTGAGCCACACCAGATAATTGATAAATCCTCATTGATGCTTTTCATGTGCATTTTAAAATGTATCACCTGGTACTCATTAAAGTGTGTTGAGTGTGTATGTGTCACAGAAACAGACAGAGAGAGAGGAGAGAGAGAGAAAAAGAGATAGGAGAAAGGGAAGGGAGAGTGAAAATTTTCTACAGCCCCCTGTATGATCCAGGCAAACAGTGCCCTGCCCCAGTCTCTCAAATGCACCACCTACTTTGGTTTCTTTTGCTTTTTTGAGACAGGGTCTCACTCTGTCACCCTGGCTGGCTTTGTGACTCTCTGGTTGGCCTTGAACTCAGAGCTACACCTGCTTCAGCCTCTCAAGTGTTGGTATTATAGGGTGTGTAGCACCATATCCAGACTCACCAGTTATTTTTATCTGTAGTCATATATGTGACACATATAAAAGGGAAAGCTATACTGTGTCTGGGTAATAAGTAACACTATATTCAGATGTCATTAAGACCAAGTGCTTCTCTCTAATGATTTGATATGCACTGTCTCTCCTACCATTGTGATTTTTTTTAATCATCTTACCCCTCAAATGTTCCACCACTGAATCCAGAAAGCTGTTTTTCAGTAGGAGCAAAGAATTATGCATCGTTGTATAGGTCTTAGCTTCAAACCCTGCCTTCTTCTACAAAGTATAGACCCTGAAAAATCATTAAATGTAGATGGGACTAAAAAATCCAAATTCTGTAAGCAAACAAAACCAATGAAAACAGGATGTCTGTCCTTGGTGAAACACAGGGAACAGATTTTATTAAACAGCAGGAAGCAGGCAGCAGGCACAGGCAGGCAAATTTCTATGAATGGAGGCTAGCTTGGTTACACAGTGAGAGAAACTTTAGGTGGGAAATCACTAAATCATCCATGAGCAAACAGGCTTGAACTTTATAAACAATTTAGCTTCTGTATAAAAAGAAACTATAAATAGGAAAACATAGATGTGTCAGCTATGTGAGCCAGCATTTAGAAAAATAGTATTTTTCAACCAGGCATGGTTACACTTTATAGCAAGACATTGGCAATTCAAGAAAGCTAGTGTTCCACAGGGCTGAAAATACGTGTAATGAAAAATCTTTTTGAATGACAAGGAATGATCTAGTTTTAGGATTGTTCAATTATTGCTTTATTCAGCCCTGAGAATGATGGTTTTTATAATGTAAGAAATTTTGAGATAGTTAACCTTCTGAATTAACAACATTTTTCACTAAAAATTTATCTTTAGGCCTGGAAAGATGGCTCAGAGGATGAGAGCACTGGGTCCCAGAGGACCCAGGTTCAATTCCCAGCACCTACATGGCAGCTCACACCTGTCTGTAACTCCAGTTCCAGAGGATCTGACTCGCTCATACAGACACATGCAGACAAAACACCAACGACATAAAATAAAAGGAAATAATTTTAAAAGAATTTATTTATTTTTTAGAAAATAAAGAAATAAGCCAATTCCAAAATCATACAATGGAAAATATCCTAAGGAAAAAAAAAATAATGGTTGAAAGTAACACTGAGGAACCTTACCTTTGGGTTATATTCTGTGTTTTTGGCATTCAGAGCTATTTTTCTCAGGTCCAATCTACATGCCAGATTTGCAGTGGAAACTACATTCCTAAACAAACAAGTAAACCCAGAAAGTCATAACAGTACAGCTTCAACACCAGCTTCCTAATTTATCTCATAGACTGCATTAACAACTTGCTAGAGAAAGAATTCTCAGTGCGAAATGTAAAGTACTGTGGTCCCTAGTCAACTGTAAACTTCATGTGCTAAAATAACATTTTCTAACATTTTGTAACCTAAATTAAAACTTAGTTTTATAATAAAAAGCACTGTCTCAAAACAGAAGCCACAAAAGAGTTTGCAAATCAAACTCAATTTTATATCCTTTGTCTTTACCCAGCCTTAACTGCCACTATTAACAACTTGAGTGCATTGGCACAAACAATAAAATCTTATTCTTGAAAGATCTGTTAATCTTGAACCTCCTCTTAGGGGACCAAGAAGTGGTGCTTCCTTTTATAATTAATAACTCATTAGTTATAATCGATTAAGAACTGAAAAAGCATAAGGCAATCTGAAATTCTTCTTATACCATTATCCTGAAATTACTTGTCATGTTCTAAAATATCAACTATGTATGTAGAAGCATCCCTCACTTTAAAAGCAAGTACTGCTCTTTGATCACCTCCCCCTGAAGGGGGAGCAGCCTTACCAGGCCACAGAAGAGGACAATGCAGCCACTCCTGATGAGACCTGATAAACTAGGATCAGAGGGAAAGGGAGGAGGACCTCCCTTATCAATGGATTGGGAGAGGCACATGGGTGAGTGGGATTAGGAAGGGAGGAGGGATGGAGGTACAGGGGGAATACAAAGTGAATAAACTGTAATTAATAAAAATAATTAAAAAAACAAGTATACTTACTGTAATTGAGGCATAATTCCATAACATTCTGGCACAGGGTTCATTGGTGCCATGGACACTATGGATGCCATAGATAAGACATTGGAGTTTAGTGTTTTTGCAGAGGGCTGTTTGGAGTCAGTACCATCAGAGCACAGATGTGACTGGGTATCTGGTGAACTGCTGTTATTCAAGCTCAGCCCATCGCCCTGTTCACTGGGCACCTGCAGCTTACTTTGCCAACCTTGAGTTTTACAACATTCTTTGGTTTCATGCTTGTTTCCAATGACAGCTCGGACTTTATTTTCTTGGGTAAGTTCATCTGATAAGAAGCTTAGATCCACAGATGAAAAGTCACTGGGTGTTTTTTTCACTCCACCAACATGTGAATTAAACACAGTCTCTGGCCTGGATGGAATAAGTGGGTGCACATCTAGAGGCGCTCCTGGGCTGAACAGCTGAGACATAGCTGGAGGAAAATCATCCTAGGCAGTTTGCAAAGCAAAAGAAATCAAAATGCCAGTGTCTTACACCAGTGGGATTTCACTGTGACAGGAAGGCAATGGCTTCAGTCTGAAAAGTGGTCCAAGATTACTTAAATTCATACCTTGCCTCCTACTACAAAGTATAACCAAGATTTACTATAGAGTGACAGCATGCTTAAAAGGATATTTTAAGAGCCAGAGAGATGGCCCATGAGAGCGCTGACTGCACTTCTAGAGAACCCACTTCATGGCACCCACATGGCCGCTCTCAACCACGTGTGACTTCATTCAAGAGGATTTGATAGCCTCTTTTGGATTTTTTCATTGGGCAGCATGCATGCAGAGCGCACATACATACATGCAGCAGAACACCTATACACAGAAAATTAAAACAAATGAATCTTTTATAAGTATGTATTACAATATAGAAAAGCATTTATCATGCAATATTTTTCCTACTTCACTTATAGCCTACTAAATTGTCCCTAACTCCAGCTGTGTAATAGGTGTAGTTGAATTCAAGATATTTATAAAATTAAAGAGAGTAGCTGTACTCTAACAGTTAATTGTAAGCTTTGATTTCTTTTTCCTTTTTTTTTTTTCAAGACAGGGTTTTTCTGTGTAGCCTTGGCTGTCCTGAGCTTGCTTCCTAGACCAGGCTGGCCTCGAACTCACAGAGATCTGCCTGCCTCTGCCTCCTGAGTGCTGGATCAAAGCCATGCACCACCACTGCCTGTTCACATATTAATTTTTAAGGATTTGCTTTTCTTACTTTTCATTATGTATATGTGAAGAGGACGTGTGGACATGAGAGCAGATGCTTAAGGAATCCAGAAGACGGCATCAGATCTCCCTGAAGCTGAGGTTACAGAAAGTCATGAGCCACAGACACGGGTGCTGGAAACTGAACTCAGGTTCTCTGCAAGATTGGTACTTTCTCCTAAACACTTACCCATCTCTATTGCCCCACAACATCACATTTTAGAGTATAAACATTGGGATGTAGTCTTCCTTGGCTCAACACTCACTAATAAAAAGATTCAGCATTATTTCTTTTTCTAATCAGAAGAGAGATGTAAAAATTATATGAATTTAGGACAGATAAATAATATACTGAGATTTAAATGTTAAGAATATTTTAAATTGATATTTGTTTTGCTTTGGAGACAGGGTCTCATTATCGCAAAGGCTGACCTCAGCCTCTAGAGTGCTGGCTTATACCTTTAATCCGAGTTTGAAGCCAGCCTGGTCTACATAGTGAATTTCAGGACAGCCCGGGCTTCACAGACACTTTGTCTCAAAAGAGGGGGATGGGTATGGGAGACTGACTAAAAATCAGGTCGCAGGTGGTGGAACGGGCCTGTAGTCCCAGCAACTGGGGAGGCTAAGGCAGGAGCCCAGCTAGAGCCTAATTGTTCGCTGTTGGTTTGAGAAGTCAAATGCCATAAGCCTGGCCTGGACCTAGCAAGCAGAAGGAACCCGACGTGACTGCAGGCAGCATGCAATTTATCACCAGTACCGAGCCATCTAACTTCACAACTAGCGTGTCTGATTGGCAACCCTGGCTATCTGGATGAACTTCCAAGTTCAGCTGAACGGTCTGGATAATCCAGCCTGCCTCTTAGGGAAGATTTGGCATTTCAAAGAGATCTCCAAGGCCAACATCAGCCCTGGCCCTTAGCGATGTGGCTGCCAGGCTCACCTGGATGGCATATGGCTCCAGAAAGAGGTCTAGGTACATGTCCTCTTCCATGAGAGGAGAGCACACAATGTAGAGCTGGAAACAAGCAAAGGCGCCAGCGTCCATGCAAGCTGCAGAAGCCCCAGTGGAACCTGCCTGACTCTGGGAGCAGAAGCCTTTATCAGCCTTCAGCAGCATGCACGAGGTGGGGCCAGCTCAGCCTTGCACAGATGATGTGAATAAGCTGAGGAGCCAGGTGAGATGCACAGAAGGAGTTGATGAGCCAGGCAAGACACAGCTGATGGCATCCAGAAGATGAGGAGGGCTGCTGAGCTGGCTGGAGCAGGTCAGGCTAGGCTTCGACTGCCGCTTCCCCTGCCATCATTGGGCCCGCAGGTGTGCCTTGCCTCCGAGAGCAGCTGCACCGTGAGAAAGGAATGCGTTTTCTCTCCACGTTTTCCTTTCCTTTCCTTTCCTTTCCTTTCCTTTCCTTTCCTTTCCTTTCCTTTCCTTTCCTTTCCTTTCCTTTCCTTTCTTTCTTTCTTTCTTTCTTTCTTTCTTTCTTTCTTTCTTTCTTTCTTTCTTTCTTTCTTTCTTTCTCTTTTCCTTCCCTTTCCCTTGCCCTTTTTCTTCTCGTGTAGCTCAGGCTTGTATATCCCCCAGCTCCTGAGAGCTGGGTTTACTGCATGCACCACATACTCAGATTCTCAGGCGTGCTATTTCTTATATTTATTTATCTTTATTGACGTGTACATGGACACGTGCATACTACAGAACTCCTGTGATGTCCTAAGGAAAATTTTCAGGAATAGGTTCTATCCTTTCAGCATGTAGAAGAAACTCAATACTCAAACTCAGTCAGGCTTGGTGGGGCAGTTTGTGGTGTTTTATTATGGCAGCTCAAACTGACTAAAATAGATATAAATTTTATTCTATTATTTATGTCTCCTCCCCTCATGTGTACAGTGTGTGTGTGTGTGTGTGTGTGCTTCTGTGTGAGTGAGCCTGTGCCTGTGTGTGTGGAGACAGAAGAGGGCATAGCATCCTGTTAAGCTGGCATTAAGGCCCACTATAGGTGCTGGAAGAGAACTCCCATCCTCTGAAAAAGCAGCACGCACTCTTAGCTACTTGGCCAGCTCTCTGGCCTCTAAGTAGATTATTAATGAGTTTACAAAGTATGTGGCAGGCAGAATGCTGAGGTGCCTCCCCAAATACCTGTCCTGATCAACCAAACACATTTCCCAGTTAGCTAAAAACAAATCTAGACACTCTTGGGTTTGAAGATGTAATTAATAATTCAAGACCACTGTTAGGAAAGAGGACCCTGGTTAAGCTTGGCCTTGCTTGCTGCCCTACCAAGAAAGAATTGGCTGCCCTTTGGGAGGGATTTCAGAGCATGAAGCGACCTTGCCATGAGGAAGATTACTCACTACTGATAGATGGATCATGGTCCAAGAAATCTGGGTGACTTCCTGGGCTGGAGAGTGGGATATATTTGATATCTAACAAGCAAGTGAATACCTCAGTTCTGTGGTTATAAGGAATTAAATTTGTCCATCAAAAGAAATGACCTTTGAAGTGGCTTATTCCTATAGCTAGACCAATTTGTAATCTCTTGTGTGTTGTTGTTTAGCCCATAATAACTGTACAAAATACTAGGTTTCATCATGGCATTTTCATACATCCATATGATATTCTTCAATTAGACAGTGCTGCATTACCGTCACGTATCCCTCCCTTATCTGCTTTCCTTTTCCTTAGCAGCTCCTTCTACTTTCATGTCATCTCTATGTTTTCTAGGCTCCACATATGACAGAAAAGACGTCACACTCATTTTCTGTGTCTGGCTTTGTTGCTAACTTTGCAGTTTTACACAAGTCCTCCATGCTGAGGTTAGACTCTTCAGTAATGTAGCTGCCAGGAAGTACCGGGAAGCTTCCTGGAGATGTGGCTGCCTTTGAGTCACCCCTACTTCTATAAGTAATAAATGTGTTGGTTCACTAATTTAGACATTTACCCATGAGCAGATGCTAAGGGACCCAGTCTCATGCTGGTCATGTGCAGCTCTCTGGGCTACCAGTGCCCTGGCTTTTTGAATAGAGATGTTTCAGCTAGTTTATTACTCTTTTTAAAATGGTTACCTACTGTACTCTAGAGAAGATGATTTTGTTCTTCTTTGTAGCAAAATAGTTACCCACTTGGTGCATGCATGTATGCACACACACATGCATGCACATACATGAACACAGACACACTATAATCACTTACTCATCATTGACAGGCACCCATTCAGATGCTATAACCTTGCTTCTGTGAATACTGCAACGATATGCAGGTATCTCTATCCGTTGGTGCTTCTGTTCTTTCAGGGATGAATACAGGAATGTAAAACTGGATGACATATAAATCTTATTTTTAGTTTTCTGAGGACACCCCACAATGATTTCTATAGGAGATAGATAAATTTACACTCTCATCAATGCTGTATAATTCCCGCTATTGAATCTTTATGTTGTAAATGATGTTTAATATTTACTATTGATTTACCTTCCAGTAACACTGCTGTTAGTCCTAACCAGCTGCATAGCCAAATCACCACACAGAGACTGGGTTTATTTAGTTAACCTAGAACACAATAGTGGGCAATAGTTACTCCATCCTAAACCTCCAAGCCCTCATAGTTTCCTAACATTTAGATTTCCCACATAATACTTGCTTTTAGTGATATCGTAGGTCCAGTCCATCTCTCCACATAGTTCCAAGATCTGTCCTCCAGCTCTCTCTCCTAGCTCTCTTCTTGCCCCTTCTCCTCCCACTCATTTCCTGCTCTCTGGCTCCTCCCTTTGAACCACATTGTGGCTAGTTGCTTTATTTTGGCCTGTTTACACACAGTTGAGACAGGATGCTTAGAATAAGTATCACAATGCAATATCTGGATTGAAATGGGGGGGGGGAGAAATCAGCATTGAATGAACAAGGGCAAAGTGCATACATTTCAAAAGAACATTATACCAACATTGAATGCAAAACTGGATGGATGACATATAAATCTTATTTTTAGTTTTCTGAGGACACCCCATATTGATTTCCATAGGAGATAAATTTACATTCTCACCAAAGCTATATAATTCCCACTACTGAATCCTTACTAGCATTTGTTGCTTTTTTTTTTTTCTTCTAATTATAGCCTTTCTAGCTAGGGTAAGGTGAAATCTCAAGATAATTGGGGTTTTTGTGTGTTTGTCTGTCTAACTCTTTGTTTGAAACAGGGCCAAACAGTGAACCTCTGTTTGGCTTGAAAATTGGTACATAGATCAGTCTGGCTTGGAGCTCACAGCAATCCACCTGCCTCTGTTGGGCTTAATGCTGTATGACACCACACCCAACTCACTGTAGTTTATATTTGTGCTTCACTGATGTTAAGGGTGTTGAGCATTTCCTCTTGTAATTAGAAAGGCCTATCTTTGATTTTAGCTTTAGCAGTTTTTCTGGTTACACTGTCATCAAGTTTGGGATCTATACAAATGTGAGCTTATGAGACTATAGTGTTGTAAATAGATAAGTGTGTGGGAATTGTTTCTCAGCAATGGAAAATGAGTAAATGATGAGTTATAAGTATGTTAGGCATTGTAGCTCATGCCTGAAATTCCAGCACTTGGCAAGATTGATTCAAGGCCAGCTTCAGTTACCTATTAAATTCAAGGTCAGTCTGAGCTACAGTGTACCCTGTTCCAAACCTCTAAAACAATAAAAAAATAAGTTATCAGTAGTAATCAGAGACAGAAATTTGCAGTGATCTGTCGCTCAAGTGACAAAGCAAAGGAATGCAATGTTATTGGTAAGCAAATTTGATAAAATCTTTTTTCGTCTACTTTCATCTTTGTAACTTTCTGTACATTTGAAGTTATTTTAAATGAAAAGTTTCAAAAGAAAAGGGGTGTTTGAGATGTTTTCAGTTGTTTGGGTGAACATTAGTTTATCTGAAACCTTAAAGTTGTTCTTTGCTGGGGATTAAAGATTGCCACGGTTCCACTGGATGAGAGCTACTTGTTAACATCCTTGTTAGGCCTCGCACACTAAGCTAAGAGCTTCCCGTAAGTGTTGCAACAAAGCTGGGAGTGAGTACTCTCCCCACCCCCTGCATTGCAGTGGGCTGAACCCAGGGCCTCATGCACACCAGGTACACATTCCATCACCGAGCCCACCCCAAGTCTGAAGCACTGTCATTAACCCCATTCGGAATCTGAGTATACTGAGATTGTCTCAGTTATCAATTCCTGTTCAGAGCAACTGACTCTGGACCTGTATTCTCTGCATGGTCCTTTATCAACAATCACACATGCCAACTTAGGTTGGATACTATGCCTCACATCTCTTTTGAGTCTGTCTTATTTTTGTTTAGGAATTTATAATACTTATAATATTATATATATAATATGTAATACTTTGGCAAAAAAATGATGAAAAATAGAAAAGTTGCAAACAATAGGGAAGCAAACCATATCCAAGAATTTAAAGTCATATTATTTTTTTCATCCTTTTTTGTTTAAAATTTTCTAATGAAAAGCTCTCATCTGAATCCTCTCTTGAGGAAGCAGAGTAGTATCAAGCCTTGGATTTGGAGTCCTTTTTGATTGGCCAAGAAGCTCAATCCCTCTGAGCCACAGTCTTCTCATCTATGAATAGAGACTATTGAAAGCAATTGCCACTAGGCATGGTGACACACATCTGTAATCCTAGCACTTGGAAGGTTGAGGCAGGAGGATCATGAGTTGAAAGCAAGTCTGGGTTACATAGTGACACTCTGTCTCAAACAGACAAACAAAACAACTTTCCAGACAATCAATGTGCCTAGCCATTCACAAGGGCACAGAGAATTGCAGATACTTTTCTAGAAAACAGATCATCTTACTAAAGCATATCGTTTTCTTCTTTTCATACAAACAAAAAACAGAACAAAAACAAACAAACAAACCAATAAAACCCCACAAACTTCAGGCACTTCCCCCTACTACCACCACTGTGTTTGAAATAAAATACAAATTCCTAAGCTTGGACTCAGAAACAGAAAACTTCTCCCTCTGTAGTCTCCAGACTCCACCTCCCAGCTCTGAGTGCTCTCTGGTGCCCTCCAGCCCTCTTGTGCTGGGATGCCACTCTCAGGTCCCCTTCTTTGAAACTTCCTCCTCTTCTGCCTTCCTGTGGGTCACCATCCCTTGATCTCTCCTGGTACAGTCATGGTGTCTTTTCTTCTATATGCCTGAATCATGTCACTTGCACTCAGTTCAGCCTGAGCTTTGTTTCACCTTGTCCTATATTTGACCACTTTCTCTTCCTTCTGCATGGACAATTCCTTGAGGAGTAGTAAGCCGGACAGCCTTTCCTAAACACTGACCCCCCTGCCTGGTGTAATTCCCATATAGAAAAAATCCACAGCAACTTTCATGTTTTCTAGCTACAGTTTGCTTTTGGGAGGGGGAGGGGGCTAAAAGGAGAGGGCCAGAAAGCAATATCTTTCCTTTCCTCTTCCTTTCACCCAAGGAGCAGCAGAGACAGGCTCCCAGTTCTCCGAATGCTTGGCTATCCTCCCTTAGCCAGCTCTTAACTAGAGAAGAAATAGAAATCCATCTGCATCAGAGACTAGCCAGGGTCCCATCCTCCTCCGAGTCAGTAGGTATTAAATCAAGCCACCACCCACTTACCCCAAAGACCCACAAAGTAGCCAACTTCTTACCTCCACACAGAAAATCATAAAAGTGAGACCAAAGGGTGGGCAGCCTGATGGCTCAGAGGAGGTGGTGGGCCTGGTTGCCTCCTGTTGCTCGTTATTTATACTACTTTCTGCCAGTGAAATGGGGAGCCAGATGTCAGCTTCCAGATGTTTCTAACTTTTGCAGCTGGCTGCACTTAGCTCACCTTTCTTTATTCAGTGAAAACAGATCTCACCATCCCATATGCTGCTGGTAGTTGAGCTACTTTCCCAAGGACTTTGGGAACTCTTGTACAAGGGCCCCGGAATGAGTCCATGCCCTTCTACTACTCTCTGCTGCCGCCGCCATTTTCTAGACCTCCCCACTCAGCAGCATTCTGCCTCTGACATGTTGTCACCCTCTGGCATAACCTGACTCCATACTGGACTCCTCCACAAACTCCCAGTCCTTAGGGTGTCACTATTCATGGCTGTGTTGAGTTTAGTAAACATTTGAGCAATAGTGTGTGTGTGTCTATCTGTTATTCTCTGTGTATGCTATGGTACGTGGTATAGCATATACATACGAGTGATGCATTATGCATATGTGTGTAGTATGTGTAGGCACTGTGTATGTGATATGGTGTGGTATATATATGTAGCATTTGATACATGTGTGTAGTTTATACAATTTAGCATATGTGTATGTGTGTAAGAGAGAGATGGTGTATATGTGCAGGGGTCTGTGTCTGTAATTCTGTATGTATGAGAGTGTACATGGTGTATATGTATGAGTGATGTGGTATGTATATGTGTGTGAAATGTGTGGATATTGTATGTGATATGGTGTAGTGTGTATATGTAGTGTTTGATACATGTGTGTAATTTATACAATTTAATATACACATATACACATATGTGTGTGAGATATGGTGTGTATGTATGAGGGCATGCGTTTGATGTGATGAAATTTTATGGGTTGTGTTGTGTGTGTGTGGTGACAGTAGTATGATATATGTGTGTTGTAATGGTGTGGTACAGTGCTAGTTTCCTAGTTATAGTAATGACATAAAACAAACTGAATGGTCTAATCAAGAGGAATGTACAGTCTTGAAGTTTTACAACCATCCAAAAATAAGGTGTTAGCAGAGCTGTGTACCCTCTCTATGTTCTGTTCCAGGTCTTTTCTCAATCTTCTAGTAG